CGGCTAGAAAATCAAAAAATTTTGATTTTTGCACAAATTTCCCTCAAGCGAGTTGTCAAACCTTCAAACACCCCAATACAGGCCAACCACCAATATTCACGCACCCCGGCAGTTTACTGTCAACAATTTTCATGCCCATATGTACAACTAGTATGAGACTAACCGAAATTGAACGGCGTGCGTAAGAAGCTAACTTAAATTCCAAGATTTGTCTTCCGTGACATTTCGATTTGACGTTTATGCTTGATTGACATTTTGGCGCGACTATGAATTAAAATTTTGGGCAACAAACTGCTGTAAATTTAGCAGGAATAAAAATCTGAGAAATTACGCATGCAAATTAGTTCTTGTTAATCAAATGTGATTAACGTGTGCAAATGTGATTGCGTGTGTGCGTAGAAAAGCTCATGCCGGTAATATTAGGTTGAGCTGATAGACAACACACATGGATTAAAGCCAAAGGATATTTCGCTTGGTTTGTCAAGCAGCTTGTGTATTTTGTTCTTTAGTTGAAAGTAACAATCGCCTGGTGTGAACGGCCTTTCAACTAATCGCTTCCAATGAAGTTGGAGTGCGGCCAACTTCTGATTCAACTTATCGCCTCAAATATTGCTTGGAAAATTACCCAATGTGAACACCGTATAACCGCAAATCGGAAAAAGTTGCCTTAATGTCAAAACGATGTATTTGTTGTATTTTTGGATATTTCTTGCCGTCATTGCGCGTATAATTTGGTGTTTTAATTTTTTTTTTGCTCAACCGATCCCACCTTGTGAAAATTCGCCTTGGTTTGGTTTCCGAGGTGCTGTCACAAAACAGCTGCAATTGTCCTCCACCCAAAATACAAAACAAAGTGGGTTGCATCAAATTAACCCATCCTCCCAAAAGGACTGCTATATGTTATAAAAGTAAATGCAGAAAAGTGTCGGTGCAAACGTATATTCGTGAGCTTAAACATAAAAACGAATGCCCTCTTTATTTCAATTAAGTGCTGTTGTGGTAAAAGTAATTTTATTGAAAGTACAATTTGTGTTGCAAAGTTCATATACATACATACCGGCAAGTGTGTTGTAATTGCTGAAAATTATCAAAAACCCTAGCGCATAGGTTAACTGGGGGGCGTGAAGGTTACATATAATTATCATTTGCCATTTGCTAAAACAAAAGTAAACACTGTTGAATAGAATAGGACAAAAGCGAGGAAGCGGAGAAAAAAGTTTTAGCTGCAAAAATGACGCCTTTCGATGATTTTGCATATCTGATTAATCATGTATTGCTGGGAGACGAGCCGGTAAGTAGCCCCTGCTTTTCCTTGAAATAGTAATATTTCACTCAACTAATTGCATGCATTTATTGAATTTTCCAAACGTTGCGGTGCTGCTGTTGCATCTTCGGTGTTGTGTGCGGCATTTGGCAGACGATTGAGGATTTCATACTACTGGTGGGTACGCTGGTGGCGTTTATAGCTTTTATACTCTGGTGTTGCTTTCCCATACAACCAAAGGTGAGTGCATTTAACGAAGTGATCGTAAAAAGGTCAAGGGTTTTCAAGTTGTTCATAATTAAAAAAAAATGTGATTGACATCCCAGTAGCATACGATTGTTATAAACTTTTTCTCACTCTCACCTCTTATCTAGGACGCAACCAATCATCGCCAATTCTCCTGCAAATCCATACAAAACTCACTCGAATCCGCTCAGGTGCACAGCAGTTATAGCAAAAGTGGCCCCTTGGCGCATAATGAGTACACTATGAAGAATGGCGGACACGCCTATCATTGTTGTACTTAATCAAGTCGGCAACCGCAGCAGCCCACATGTTTACTTACGCAAGTAATCGAGGGATTAAGTAAAAGTATAAAATTCAATTTAAACACCTAATGTATGCTGTAGAGTAAACCGCTATCCAAAAGACGACGCTAATAAAGAGTGAGCCAACTACGATAAACCAAGCAGTTTATAACCAGTATCGAATAAGCATATGTATGAACAAAGCTTAATGGCAACTATAGAAAGCATATTTATTAAAAAAAATATTTCCCCATCTAAGTTAAAGTCGAGTATCGGTCACTACATTATTAAACATAGTTGTAGTACGAAAAGTAAATTTAAAATGTATTATGCTGTAAAATTAGGCGAAAACAAGGCTGCGCTTCGCTAAAGCGCCGTTCATAATTAAGAAAATGAACGTTAAATAGTATGTTTAGTATTGAAAAAATGTTTTTTTTTGTATGATTTCAATGCAATTGAAAATGTTTGTATATAAAATACTCGAATAGTAATTAAAATATTCGTACATGAATTTAAAATATATCGCATATTTGCAATATAGCACAGATGTATGCTAAATGCAAATAAACCCAAATGAAAGACAGACGATTGAAAGAAAAATAAGTAAATAGTAGATGAGCGATGTAGGTGCGATTTTATATTTAAGAAAATGTTAATTTTAATTTCTAAGAAAATTATTTATGACATGAATTGTTATATTCATTTTGTTCTAATTTAAATGTTTCATTTATTTTCAACATGTCATATTCGTCGAAAAAATTGCATTGTATTATTAAAACAACATACGTGATAAACCCAAAGCTTGTTTATTTTGGGAAGAACTGAGTAGAAGAAGTGGCTTTTGAAAAGGCCGCAGTCATTCACATTTAATTTTGAGCACTTTGTATATATGTATGTATGTATGTATAGCTGCAATTTTCCGTAGTTTAAATGTAGCTTGAAAGCGATTTTTTTTCAATGAAACATTGAAATGCCTTTTTTAAATTGTTGCCTCTTTCTTTATTTTAGCCATTTGTAGCTTTAAAGAATTTCTTAGATATACTTGCCAGCATACATCTGTTAGTATTTATTAATAAAAAGCAAAACTTTGAAATTTTTCAAATTAAAAGTTGAATAAAAGATTGCTGAATTACAAATATTGCACATGAAACAAATATCCCTTACTTATAAAGTGTTGAACAGATTGAAAATAAAAGCAACAAGCCCTTGAATGTTCCGCTGAATACTTCTAGAAGCGTAATTCCAGTTTGATGGTAAATTTTTATGTGCATTCTCAATGTAAGATGTATTTTTTAGTGCTACTAAATTTTATTTTTTTAACAACAAGCCAAAACTCATTTCACGTCGTCAATTTTTTTTTATGTATTACAAAAGATTGCGCATTAGTAACAAAAAACAAAAAAAAAATAAAACATTAAACAATAAATAAAATGAATTACCCTTTAATATCGTATTTAAAATCTCATAGCGCATACAAATTACATATATGTATATTGAAATATAAAACATTGTATTTGTATATTTTTTCTTAGCGCTAAAAAATATTTACTCAGTAAAATTTGAAAAATCTTTAACAATAACTATACCTGCTAAGCAAGAAAAAACGCCAAGTGAAAATAAAAGGTACTCGAGATTGAAAAAAAATCGAAGAAAAAGTGGTATTCTTTGTTAAAGGAAAAATTGGAGGAGAAAGTTGTTGATTACTTTGTATGAAATTGTAAGTAAAAATCGTATTTAAAAAAAATTTGGATTTCATGCAATTTTTTATAAAACATTTAAGTTCTGGAACCTTCACCATTTCTTATTTTTTGTTTTTAATTCTGTTANTGAATTGTAAGTAAGTTCTGGAACCTTCACCATTTCTTATTTTTTGTTTTTAATTCTGTTATAATTTGTTCTCCAAATTATCAGCTCTTCCAAATGCAGTTGATGATTTGAATAATGAAATAAGAAACAATGCGTATATGAAATTTTAATTAATATTTTTTTGCAAAAAAAATTTTCAAAAATGAATGTACACATTGTATAGCTATATTTTTTTAATTTATTTACTTTCAATTTTTTTCTGCTACATCACTTGTTTTGCATATAAATAACTAGTTTGTTGGACATACATATACATATTTATTATATATTTAAGCACAAATTTTCCTAATGTTTTGTTTGTTTTTGGCGTAAATAATGGGTGCCAAAAATTCATATAAACAACAAACACTGTAGATTTTTGCAAGATATGTACATATATTTGAATGTGCTGCTTAGAAATTTGAAACAACTATTTCCAAGCGCAGGGATGCATTTGGAGGCAACACAGAAACAAAATATGTTTTATAAAAAAATCTTTGAAAAATTTTATTTTTCTAAAAACAAATACGAAACTAATTAAACAATTACCAAAAACAAATAAAAACGAATAAATTTTTTGAAAAAATTCAAACATTAAATAATTAGCGAACATTTTGAATTTTTTTTTAGAAGCATTTATATATTGTAAATATCTCAACACATATATATGCACATATGTACGAAATATATTACAAATTAAAATTTTTTAAGAAAAATTTGATTGCTTTTGAAAGTTTTAGTTTTAACATCCATATTGTATACATATACATATGAAAAGAAGTGCTCAAGGGAATTTTTTTTAAATAAAACCAAATTTGATTCGTTTAGGAAAATTTAAACATTTAAAAATTAACACAAGTTTAGAAATTGCTATTTTTTTCATTTCATTTTTTTACAAAAAATATTTTTTAATTATTTTAAACAAAAACCTTTATTTACTTAGACAAATCAAAGGAATTATTTGCGGTTAATTAAAAATACAAATATTTTTAAACAAAAAGTTTTTAAAACAAATTTTTTGGTAATTTTTTAATTTTTTTTTACTGCTCGCCGATAACGCGCAACATCTGGGAATAGTTTGGGTGCATTCCAAAACGTTAACATACAAAGCATCAGTCTCTTTTATTTCTAAACCTCAGTATATTGTAACGTCAAATGTGCGCAACCACGGGTAGATGCAAGTTTTCAGCTAAGTTGCGCAAGTTAGACTTTTTCTTCTAGTGTGGTTTAGAAATAAAAGAGACTGATGCTTTGTATTTTGACGTTTTGGAATTCACCATATTTTAATAAAAAATAATTAAGCGTTATTTCCTCTTATTTAATTGAGTATACATAAATTCGCTTAACAAAAAATTTAAAAACAAGTTTTTCTAAAAAAAAACTTTTTGTGAAGACAACTTTTTTTTAGTATTTAAATATAAACTTTTTCTTTACATAAATCTAATGTAAAAAATTCTGAGAAAATATTTGCATTTAATAAAAATAAATATTTCTGAAAAAAAGTTTTTCAAAATATTTTTTTTATTTGCATAAATAATAAATTTAATAAAAATAAATATTTCTGAAAAAAAGTTTTTCAAAATAAATTTTTTTTATATAAATACCTACCTTTGGATTTTCAATTGATTAGCTACAACACACAAGGTNATTTGCATAAATAATAAATTTAATAAAAATAAATATTTCTGAAAAAAAGTTTTTCAAAATAATTTTTTTTTTAAATAAATACCTACCTTTGGATTTTCAATTGATTAGCTACAACACACAAGGTCTGCGCAATAATTTCCAACTAAAAATTAATCAAAAATAATTTTCTCTTATATAATTGAGTATAAATTCTCTTGGCTAAATTTTTAATAGCCTTTTTATTGCACTTGATAACAATTTTTTAAATTTTTTACCTTACCTATTGATTTGTGGCACAAATTAAACAAGTAAAAATAGTATAAGTACCACGAATTTTTTGGCTAACTTTTGAATTGAAAAATATAAATATGTAATTATGTACATACTTACAGATATTAACAATGTAATTCACTAATAAAATCGTTGTTTATATTTACACGCTCGTGTTAGCATAATATTTAATATTTTTATACTTAACAATTATTTTCTTTATTTTTTTTTTCTCAACTTAAAAATTAACATAACTTAAAAATTGAACAACTAAATTTGGCTTCACGCTTTGTCATTAAATAAGTTTTGGTATTTTCTCGCACTTACAACACTAAACAGTCTTAATTAGCTCGCTTTCTTCTCAAAATTTTGTAAAGTACAAATTAAAAAAAATATCTGCTTTCTGTTTCGCTACACTTTTTTTCTTCCCTTTCTCAAGTAATTCCCTTGTGTCCTGGCCTCAGCACTGCTTCGGGAAGAATACATTCATCTCGATCAAAATCTGCAGCACTATGAAGATTGCATAAATGGAGAATAACGCTATGCCTGCGCGCTTGGTTAGGCGATAGCCGCTAAAGCTCAAAACGATGAAAAGCGCAATTGTACAGAGCAGCAAAATGAGTATATTATACTCAATACCTTGCGCGGCAATTTTAATCATAGCACTGCCATCTGTTTTGCCATAATTCATGCAATTCTTAATGAACCATGGCACGCCCAGCGAAAGGAGTATGGCAAGTGAGTTGGCGCCCAGCGAATTGGAGACACCAATGCCGCTTTCACCTGTGTTAAGAGAGGAGAGAAAGAGGAGGCATTTAAATTGGCTATAAGTAAGAGAAACATTTAAAATTTGTGAGTGAGAGCTGTGAGGGAGCTTTTAATAATGAGCTAAATGAAATAATGAGTGAAATTTTGAGCGTTAGCCAGGCGAGTTAAATGAGTGAGTGCGTGTGAAGTATGGAGAATACAATGAACTGAGAAACTCACCATTTCGTAGGGAAATCAAACTGGAAACCGCTTCAGGCATAGTTGAACCAGCCGCTAGGAAGGTGAGACCCATAACAATTTCAGGTACACTTATGGCGACACCTAAAATAGTAAAAAAAAAAATTAGTTAAAAAAAGGAAAACAATTTTGGTTTGCATCAGAGTTTACATCTGCCTATACGCCTCGCAGGTATGCAAGCGATCAATAGTATTTATCACAATACACAAATACATAGATTCATCATGTCAGAGGAATCAACCAATAAAATGTATGTGATGTATGTATACTATACTATATATATCACACGACAAATATCGGTCACATCCCACGAGTTAATCACAATACAAGTATCATCAGATCATATATCGTCGGCTGGATAAAAGATTGTCGTAAGCGGAATTTTGGCGATTTTTAGTTATGAATGCCGTTATATGAGCAAATCTCACAAATAACATTTTTCGGCAAAACCGTGCGTTTGGTCGAAAATGGTGGCGCACTTATCTTAGACAATGCATTATCTTCAGTTTTGTATAAAGATGCATATTCCAGCGCGAAATTGTATTCAAACGAAATCTTAAAAAAGATATGCTAAAAAAAGTAAAAATAACAAACCATGCTTATATACCCGTAGTTGTGTATGTAACGTGTACGCCCGGTAAACCCCGGACTTAACTTAAAAGTCATATTATTTAAAAAAATAATTAAATATTGACGAAACATATTTTTCTACAGTATCCGTGACGAATATCGAACCCTAACGGCCAAAACAACGTAAGCGACATTTTTTTTCAAAATTTTATTTTTGATGCAGAAATATTCCTAGGGCAGCTATATGTATTATTGCATCAAATAGAATATTAAAAAAAACAGCGGTTACATTATTTTGGCGGTTAGGGCTCGATATGTATTAATTTCTTCATGTGTATAATAATTTTAGAATGAATTTCGAGTGTGTCAATAAAAATTATAAAATTGGATTTTTTTTCGCAAATCTTCGTCATCTTATAATCAATGTAATTTTTTCGTTAAGTGGCACGCTAGTCTCATTACTGTAGAATGGTTTGCTTTGGCAAGAAGAACATTTTCAACGCTTAATGTTGAAATTTTGAAGCAACTTAAAGCTGGGTTATGCAAGGCTTAGACTTGACTTGACTTACCTAGAAACTTAGAAACGATTACTCAGCGTGCCACCTATTACTTTTTCTTTTGAATATCAGCACTTGTATTTGTACACCTAAATTGCAAACGATTAATTCGTCTTTACACCAGAATGAATATAAAATTACCAGTAAAATAAATGTATTTACTCGTATCGAATTGTGATTGTTTTTATTATATTTTCTGTCTTTATTTGAAAGTTTGTTTTTCGATTGCCAGATGAATTACATTTATACAAAAAAAAAATTATTTATGTGGCATATTTGTAGGGATTTTATTAAAAAATGAAATGGCAGCATGATTCTCTCAGGGGTCTCTTTGCACTTAGAAATTTAACTTAGAAATCAAAAATCT